CCAAAGCCCCATCCAACCTGGCCTTGAACACTTCCAGGGATGGGGCAGCCACAGCTTCCCTGGGCAACCTGTGCCAGTGCTTCACCACCCTCACAGGAAAGAATTTCTTCCTAGTATCTAATCTAAATCTGCCCTCCTTCAGTTTAAGGCCATTCCCCCTTGTCCTGTCACTACACTCCCTGATAAACAGTCCCTCTCCAGCTTTCCTGTAGGCCCTTTCAGGTACTGGAAGGCTGCAATTAGATCTCCCTGGAGCCTTCTCTTCTCCAGGCTGAACAATCCCAACTCTCTCAGCCTGTCCTCATAGGTAGAGGTGCTCCATGCCCCTGATCAGCTTCGCAGCCCTCCTCTGGACTCGCCGCAACAGCGCGATGTCTTTCTTATGCTGGGGACCTCAGAGCTGGATGCAGTACTCCAGGTAAGGTCTCATGAGACCAGAGTAGAGGGGCAGAACCACCTGTCTTGACCCGCTGGTCACGCTTCTTTTGATGTGGCCTAGGATACAGTTCTTGAGAGAGAACTTTAGAATATGCTTAATACCAAGAGGGTTTCCGCAGCACCATTAACTCCAAGACATTGGGAGTGCTTGAGAAGAGCTAGGGAAACAATCATGAACAGCCATAAACTGATCAAAAACAATGTCACCGTCAAGTAACACATTATCTGGACTATTTAAGAGGCAACCTAGAGACCAAAGAAATAATCATTCTGCAGTTTTAGAACTATTTTCACATTAACCAACTCTGACAAACATGTTATGAGACCAAATAATATTTAACATTAAAGCAGATAAATACTAAATCCATTTAGAGGAAGCAATACACGTCGACCTCAGGAATTTCATTGCCAAATGCACTGCTCAAAAGTACTTCACACTCCTTCACAAATATACTGTAAGAGTACAGATGCTAGGTCCAGTGTTCAAGTGACAGTATTAACACCACAGTTCTTTGAACCATAGACAGATCCTGATAACTCAGGCTGTTTAATGACTTCTATTTCTAGAAGTTTAATAGATTTCCCAGCTCTGAAACTGCAGAACAACATGTGATATACCCTGAAAGCCAGCAGCTACACACCACACAGCCATTTGCTCACCCTCATCCCACCCCAGAGTGGGATTGGGGGGCGGAGGGAGGGAAAGGACCCCACACCTCATGGGTTAAGGTAAAGTTTAATAGGACAGAAAGGGAAAATACTAGTAATAATAACATACAAAACAAGTGAAGCATAATGCAACTGCTCACCACCTGCCGACCGATGCCCAGCCAGTTCCTGAGCAGCCTTCCGCCTCCAGCCAACTCCCCTAGTTTATACACTGAGCATGACTTCATAAGGTATGGAATATCCCTTTGGTCAGTTGTCCCAGCTGTGCCCCCTCCCAGCTTCTTGAGCACCTCCAGCCTACTCACTGGCAGGGCAGGAGAAGCTGAAGAGTCCTTGACTCTAAGTGTGTAAGCACTACTTAGCAAGAACTAAAACATCAGTGTCTTATCAATATTATTCTCCTACTAAATCTAAAACACAGCACTATACCAGCTACTAAGAAGAAAAATTAACTCTATCCCAACCAAAACCAGGACACAGTTGCAATAAAGACAGCATTCATGAAAACTTCATGAGAAGCAGGGAAGAGGAAGATGACTGTTTTAACTGACTGTAAAGCACTAAGTAGAATACAAGAAGAAAAGACAAGAAATATTATCTTATTATCTTGGTTAAAAACAAGCAACTACAGTTTGGGACATAGAAATGTATCTAAGACTTCAGAATCAGCTTCTTAATCAGGAGTTGTTTGTGTACATGTGTGTCCTACTAGCCTCACTTTCTAAATGTGCAAGATAAGACACATACAGCCAAACATTGCAGAAGGATCACTACTTGTTTTAAAAGCATTAAGGTGTTCTACATGGGAAGTGAATACTATAAGCACCCAGAAAAATACCTGTCTGCTAAGGCATGACTAAAAATATGGGGGGGGGCAACTGAAGAGACAAAGGGCTTAAGAACAACCAGGGGTGGGGGGGAAGTGTCTCATTCCTCTCCCTCATGGGTTCTCTAATGTCATGACACGAGCATTTAAATCAGAACACATAAATCAGAAAATTCAGGAAATGTTCTATTCTGGCCACAGGATAAAAGTGCCACATATATATATATACACTTTAAAAAATGTGAGAAGGTCTAAAGGAGGTATGTAGAATACAAGTATAAAACCTGGGTAGAAAGTCATTCTGGGTTCTTTTACTCTACAAAATCACCAGGTAGTGACTCCAGGCCATTTCAGTAGTCTTCCAGAAGGAAAGCTGTTCCTGAAAGCAGGAGCACTAACTACAATTTTGGGACAAGAAGAGTTGTCAAAAGGATTTTCTTGTTCCAAGCAGGTCTGACTTTCTGCATAACACCTAATTTCTTAAACAAGAAAAATACATCCTAGCAAAGAATTTTACTTTTATAAAAC